CAATCTCAGCCCTCTGAAATCCTACTTGATATACAGCAAATCTAAAAACAGATATATTTAGATGAGACTGAATAGAAGACACTGTTCTATATTAATTCAGTGGCCATCAACCACATAGACCACTGTCACAGAAGATCAAATTACTATGGAAATACACTGTTGAGTGCTTTCTTTGATCTCAACACACACACACACACACACACACACACACACACACACACGATGTACTTCCGCAACTGTCAAAGCCTTTATTTAGGCATGAATCTGTATTGCATGAATTTGCATGATTACCAATATTACCATAGAAACAACACTAATGCTGAGTGAGTGTGTGTGAGGTCATTACATTGAAAGCCAGAGAAAGAAAAGTACAAAGGATGTGGTCCACTACTTAATAGTCTGTGCATTAATATCACAACCATCAAAAGCCCGGACGGGGTGTGTTAGTCTTCTGTTGTCGTCTCCCCAGTTTTCAGATTTTGCTCTCTAGCAAAGTAATCTATCTGCTTATATACAGTGGGGCAAAAAATACTTTCCACCATATTTGCAACCACGGATGAATTTCATACAATTTGCTTTGCAGACACTACAAAAATAGTAAAATGCTTTTTCATCTGTATTCTCACAGGACAAGGAAAGATGCAATATTGTTATGCTCTTGTTATTTTACATTTTTTTGCAAATCAGAGGCAACAGGTGGTCTTCTGAAATCTGTTACCGGTAAACAAACCTCATGTGTACGCTGTTGATAGGCAGCGCATAAAACTACATGGTCGTTAATATACAGTACCTGCTGTGCTGGAGCTACTGTATATCATTAATTTAACAAGAAATGGGCTATTGTTAGCAAACAGCTTCTGTAGACAGAAGTTTATAATGATGCTCAAAATATCTCTTGGCCTTTCTAGAAAACGGAGCTGTTGTCAGAATGAGTTGAAAAGAGGATGGGGGTATATTGTGTTTGCCAAAGAAACAACTTCTGGTATCAAAATAAGTAAGTTATTTAATTAAACGAATCGGTTTGGTAATATATAAGAAATCTTAGTCAGGAATGAATATGGTTTTTTTCTCTCATCCTCTGCTGTGACTTACTAAATATGTAAACATAACCCAAAAAGTAATGAACCAACCGTAGTGGCTGACTGCACATTTAGTGCAATAAAAATCATTCTATGACTGAAACCAACCTGAAATATTATTTGTCTTAAAGCAGTTCAATCACACAGTAGTTGTTTCACTGGGGAAAAACAAACTCAATTCAGACAGATTCAGACACATTAACTATGTCTCCCTGTCCAGCGGGCAATAACAGTTAATCTAGGCTGGCTGATGGTAATTAAAGTGTCTTCCTGTGTTATTGACTCTCAGTAGCAGCAGACTACTCTTTGCTCCTTCCCTCTATCCCTCATTTCTTTTCTTTTCCCTCCCTCAATCCTGTCTCAATCCTGTCTGCTTCCTGCTTCTCTCCAATTCCGTTTGTCAATAGTCATTAAATGCAATCTTATCGTCCCATCACATGCGCACACACAGACACACAGATAGAGATCTGATGAGACTCTGTTGGTTCAATAGTTGATTAGTGTCTTGCCTAATAGCCCACGAGTTGACCCTGTGTCCTCTGACCACTTTTAGACAGGTTTAGTGGACTGGAACACACAGTGAATATCAAACTAGAGGTTACCATATGAAACGGACGAAAACTGGAAACACTCCAACATTAACCTGACAATTTTTACAGCATCACCTGATTTCTGAGAGTAACTTTTACATTTTTTACAAGGTTGATGAGACATTTTCAGAGGAGATTTCCAGATGTTGAATATCACAACATTTTGTTTTTGTCTGCATTGTTTGTTTAAAAACTAATTTAAGGATGAAATATGGGTCAAGCAAGAAGAGCCCATTAAATTTAGTGTGGAACCAGATCACAGGGTGGTTTGCAGTTTGGAGCAGATCTAGTGGATATAAATATGGTCTGATAAGGAGCCTGTTGGTGGAGGTGTGCCCTTCTAGTATTACTTTATAAAACTAGCAGCAAAGAAAACAGTTAGTCAGACAAACAGTATCCAGTTCCACTAAAACATTTCTAGAGTCAGAAAGTTGGCGGCATCTTCACTTGCTTGCGTACTTACAGCACGATGATGTGAAGTGATGAGAGCGTGGTGCTGACTCAGGACTGTCACGATGGACAGACATGTCTTGATCAACTCATCAAATATTACTGCACCTAGAAGAGATCAAGTCAGTTATCATTCAGCGCCTCTGAATCAACTCTAATAAAAGTGGAGGATGAAACACAGGGTGGCCAGAAACTGAATTCCCTTTGCCAACACCTGAGTGTTTTTATTTGGGAACTGGCAGCTTAAGTGTGGTTGATAATATGAGCTCCTTCTGCTCCGCTATATACAGTGGCTGACCTTATACTCTAAAGTTGCTTTGTGCACAACACATTGAACATTAAATTTCACAACACATTGAACATTAAATTTCACATCTGTCTCTTCAAGGATGTATCTGTTTCTCGCCGTCCACATAATAATAGTTTTTCCTCAAGAACTGAAGGGGAAAGCTGTTCAAGGTTTAATGTGTAGGATTTAGTGGCACCATGTGTTGTCACTTCCAAGTATAGAGAACCAATAGTGGCCTTACAGGGGAATTGTGTTTTTTGTGGTTTTATTTATACATACCATTAATTTACACACTCTCATTGGCTGAGGTTGAAAAATACCAGAATTCCCTCTTATACTTGGATTGAAAGCGTGGTCAAAAAAACCTGTGTCTTTATCTATTACTTGCTTTTGTTTGTTGCTGAATGAAGTAATTGTGGGGACTGTGTGAGGTTTGTTTTCATAAAAACTAAAACTTGGGGTAGCAAAATTATAATGTTATTGAATAATGGGGATACACTTGCACCACTTGCACAATTGCTCAGGTAACTATAAGCACTCAATACATATTATTGTTAAAGCAATTGAAAAAGTAACTCACCCACAGCACTAGCCGGGTTTGTTTCATTGGACTCTATAGAGGTGACATAGTTCTGAGAGAAAGAGAGTGTAGAAATGTTACATCAATGAAAAACCTATAGTAGTTTTACTGTGCTGTAACTAATGGACACTTTATTTTTTAGCCAAGTACTTATCAATAGCTGTGTCTTTCAGCTACTATTTTCTACCGTTATCCCTGTAAAATGTTAAAGTACTGCATTGGAAACTAGGAAATATCTTTATGTTGCTGTAATTGTCTCAATAGCTTACACTTCACCCCATGTTTTAATATGTCCATAAGCTTATATTCAAAATGCCTCAATGCCTCACAGTGTTATTAGTCTGTAAAACAGCCAGTCTGGTGTGGAGACAGATAACAAGGCGTTGTAATAAGTACACTTACAAGAAGCAATCCAAATTGAGCCAGAAACTCGTCAGTCACAATTTGAGATCGAAAGACCTGTGAAAAGAGTTAGTCACAGTCAACACGGAAGGGTTTGATTGGACAACCATGTCAATTAGTGAAAAAACACAGAGAAAATCTCTGCTGCAGATGACATTATATTCTGGAAGGTATCTTGTGCACAACTCAGATTGTGTACGGACAATACTAAATCCTAATGTAACTGTCTGGTGCTAACCTAAACAAAATCAAATCATGAAATATGTGTTAGAAGACAAAAATACCATCAAGGGGTAAAGATGCATGGTCAATGAAATGATTGCAAAATTGGCAAGGCTGTGTTAAATGCCAGTTTTAAGTAGTAATCATTTATAAGAACATTTTTTAGGATAACCAGGCCAACAGGACTTTTAAAGCATGTGAACTGTTTCAGTCGCAGTTACCTGTGACGAAAGAAGTTCCAGCACAACATGCATTGTAGGCAAGGTGTGTTTAAGCTGTCTGCTCTGAGCTGCAGATGGGTGAATCCTGCCATTCACATCTCTCAATGCACATAAGATGTCGTCTAGAGAGAGGACAGGAGACAAGATACGAAGGCATGAAAGTTGAGTGCTGATGGGTTAATGTGCAGCAAGAACAATATTTGATGATTTTGTTTACAATCGTTTACTGTACAGTACTGTTCTGTCTGTACCCAGTATCCGTGGTGAAACGCTGGTCAGATATCCAATCAGTAAGTCCAGACACTGAGCAAGGTATCCTGATTGGCCGGGGTTTACTTTGAGAGGTGTGGCTTTGCGCAGGTCTCTTTCCAAGTAAATGATGAATCTACAGAGAAATACACACACACGCATATGTCATAAAATAGAAAAAAAAGAAATTTGCCTCTGTCTCTAGTATTAGCAACACATCACTACTTTAAGGATGCCAGATTTTCTTTCACTATTACAACTGGTATTAATGTTTGAATTATATTGTTTGATTCATTTTGAGATATTCACCAATATTAACGTAATTACAATAATGAAAATAATATACACATGTCAAAAACATCATTTTGCTCTATGAATTGTAAAATCTTGACAACCTGAATAAAAAAGATGGAACTGAGCTGCTGGACATGACACAGACAGTTTACTTTGAGTATTTAACACTAATCAGTGAGATTCTATTTACACATTCACAACAGAGCACAAGGTTAGCAGTGCTAATTCATGCATGATACACAAACACATGCACCTATGTGTGTATAGATCGTCTTGAGAAGTTGCTCTGTCTGACAGGTTCCTAAACTGCCTCTAAACATACTTTGAAGTGAGGAAGTTCAATGTCAGCATTGGAGATCATGTGACAAACATGGGACAGCTGCATGGGATCTTTTTTTATTCTCACTGTACATGCTGCCACTGGGTGACATCATCAGACCACAAAAGGTTTTTTTCCATAGTTACGCAGATGATACACAACTGCACATTGCTGCTGAGCCAAATTATAATAATGCTCTGCCCTCCGTCTTTCAGCAATAAATACTTGGATGTGCAATCATTTTCCAAAGCTTCATGAGAATAAAACTTAAATCCTTTAAAATGGACCAAAATCTGAAAAATAATCTGGCAACTCCTTGGATTAAATCAGAAGTGACAAGTCTAGGTGTTATCTTGGACTCTGATCACAGTTTCAAGGCCCACATTAACAAGGTCACCAAAATCTAATGTGTCCACCATATCAAAGGTTCGGCCATTTATAAATCAGACCGATGTTGAAAAGCTGATTTCCAGTTCGAGCTGCACTGCACTGGTTGCTTGTTACACACAGGATTGATTTAAAGGTTCACCTCCTTACATACAAGGCTCTGAATGGGTTAAAGTTACTTAGAGAGAGCTGACTCTCTATTTAACTCCGTCTCCTCTAATGTCTTCTACTACTATCTGTTGTCTTAAATGAATTACATTTTAACTTGTTTTTATTCTTAAAAACATACTTATCAACATTTTAATGTTTATCTATATTGTAAGCAAAGCTTTGAGCTGTATTTCTTGTATGGAACGTGCTCTACAAATAAAGTTTATTATCATCAGTGCACGACAGTTTTCTTGATTTCTGGAAAAGCTTGGTTGAATTTCCTGTGTCACATTCTCTAAAACCAGGAAAAACGCTCCGACACTAAGTCCACTGTGTGAAAAAGTGCCCGCCCCAAATTCTTAATGCCCCTTTAATTTGAGAAGTCTTGATCTGGGCCTGGTGCACACAGGCAATGCAAATGGTTTGGGGATTGTGTCAGTATTTCTTTTCCTAATTTTGTTTGTTAGATTATCATCCAGTTACCGGTATATGATATCCAACAAAGCTTGAATATTATGTTAGGGTTCCAGTGGATTTAATTTATCTTTTACTGTTATGAGTTATTGCAAACACAAATAAAAAGAACTATAAAGCAATGAAAGGAAAAGGACAAAAAAGACAAACCATTGCCTTTGGTATTACATTCAACGTAACCTGTGAACAGACCTGCACATGAATAGGTACTTCTTATCTTTAAACACTGTTTAATCACACACAAGCTGGAGTAAATGACTTCATCATAGTTTGTATCATAGAACAATCTACTACCTAAATTGCATGTAGTAGGTTCTAAATACAATGACAGCAGGAAATGAAATGACTGATACTAAATAAATTCATGATGAGGTAGAAAAGAGGACAGAAGAGACAAGGCAGAGGAAGAATCAGATATTTGTAATGTTCCATTTACCTTCCAGGAATGTCTGTCTGAGAACTATCTGTCTCTCTACCCAGCTCTATGCCTGTATCCTGTCTGTCTTTCTATTTGTCTCCATGCTACAGTCCTGCCTGTGTGTTTCTCTGTTAGTCGTGCAGCCATTTTTCCAGATTGCTAAAAAACGAGAGATAAACTTCCCACCTCTCTGTCAGTCACTATGGGAGTCTCACAAAGTACTCACGCACAACTGACCTTCAAGTGGCCCCCTCTCTCTCTCTCTCTCTCTGTCTCTCTGTTTGTGTGTGTGTTTAAAGCCATCTCACTCCACTCCCAATGGCAGTCTTGACACTTCCTCAGAAGGGCCTGCACAAGTTTATCTCATACAGACAAAAACACATACACAAACCCATACACAAACATTTTCACACCACCGAGGAGCTAATTAAACACAACGTGCCTGGGTTAAAGCAGGACTGAGGGAAAGACGTGTGTCTGTGTGTGTGGTTGAGTCAGGCAGAGAGCTCGGTGGGAGAGAGACAGGCAGGTCAAATTTGACAGCTCTAACACTGTGAACAGAGAGAGAGAGAGAGAGAGAGAGAGAAAGTGTGTGTGTGTGTGTATTTGTGTGAGACGGAAAGACAGGCAGGCAGAGAAGATGCATTGAAGAGGAAGTGAAAATTATAAACACCTTAATTCTATCATAGGGTCATGTTTGGTTTGGTCAGGTTATATTTGAATTTAAATGAAGCTAAATATAAGGAGGCAAAACACATTTTAAGTTCCAGTGTATGATGGTGAGGCATAAAGCTGTCTCTCAGGGGGATGGGTCTGATCAAACAGAGATTCATGTCCATTTATGGGTACTACTTCTAGAGGATACACTATGATTTGTATATGGAAAAAAAAAGTAAATGATCCAAGACGTGTCTACAGATAACAGTCAAACTGCAAAGTTCATTTTTCTGTATCCGTATTCTCTATTTGGAACAAAATGTTTTTCCAAATATATTGTATTTTAGAATATGATACAACTTATTGTCTTTTCAAAGCTATCCTTGACCACACAACAATTTCAAGGGGCTTTATTTCCTTTGGGTCACATACTTAATCAGATTTGAAGTAAGAATTTGCCATTCTCAACCTGCCTGTTTGTAATGTTCTGTTTGCTTGGCCTGTGTTAATGCTCCAGAGCTTCTTCAGAGTTATTCATTGTCATTTTGAAGTCCATCTCAAACTGTTCTACAATACACTGTCACTTTTTGCTGGAGGTTGTGTCCAGAGTGAAGTTGAAAACTTTGTCTTCATCCTACCTGATTTGTCTACAATGATGATTGTCAATGTGTTTCATAAAGTGAGACAGAATTTGCTTAATGCTGGACTGCTGATATTTTTCCATACTTTGCATGTCAGCTATTTCAAACATCTGTTAAGCAATTGACACCCAAGTTCACACCTTTTCAAGATAAAAGCTCTGTAATTCAGCTCAATTCAAGTATTTAAGCATTGAAGAGACAAAACAAATGCACTTTTACTTTAAAGGCTAACTGCAAGGGAGGAAGTGATTCCATAAATATTATTTAATGACGGAGATCAGCTCCCATGACACCTGTGAATGTCTGTGTCAGTCCGATATGGTGGGGGAAAAAAATTATCAGAATGATCTGGTGGAGACTTTGACCCAGCTGCCGACCACTGCTGCAGTTTATCAAAGAACACAGACGACATGTTCAACTCGGTTCACAGGCTGACTGACAGCACACTGCCCCTCTGAATGCTACAGAGCATTGGTCGTCTGTTTATTAGATTTGTGTTAATATTGAGATATTTGTCCAAATCACACCAAACTCTGAACATACAGATAGACAGACAGACAACAATTCTGGAATTAGTAGTACACACAACTTGCGTACACCCTTCAGGCATTGTAAATTGTGTGCAACTGTTTAAAACAAGTAAAATATTTAATGCCTTCTTGGCAAAATATCAAACTTCACTGATGGTAAGCTCTTCATCAGCTGCCAAGGAGCCATTTTCTGTTCATTTGTGTCAAAGATAATAAAATAGTGTCTTCAGACAGGTTTACTGTTTATTTTGTGGTGATAAAAACAATTATCAAGTAAATCATTGGTTGCGTCTCCAAACCCCACACCAACTAACATTTCCCCTATTCTTTTGAAAATTGAATCTGGCAGTTCACATGTGCACAATGTGTGACAACCATAGTGGAGACAGAAGAAAAGAGTCTGAGACAGAGAGAGAGAGGGTAAGCAAGAGGCATTTCAATAAACGAGAAAACAAACAGAGAAAAGAAGTGGAGAGAGAGGCGATGAGAAGAGACACTGTTACCATATGTCAGTAATCTAGGGCATCTTTTTCAAACTGAAATACCAACTGGTCATAAATTACCAGGAGAACTGGGTGTGTGTATATATCATGCATATGCATCTGATCATATGAGCGATGCCGATTCACAGCTGCATTGCAAGTTAGAGTGGGGTGAAACACAGGACAACCAGCTCTAACGAACCATCTGAAGTTCCAGTAAAGTTACATCATGCAGCAGCACAATCTGAATGTCCAGGGTACATACATTTATATCAGAATTCCCACAGCTGCTGTGCTAGTTAACACAAAGGTTACGCAGAGTACAAGTGCCTTGCCAACAACCCCAAAGGAAGTCTCACGTTATTTAAAGCAGTCTGCTTTAACCGTGTTGAATGTGATTTGTGCATCTGTATGGAAAAATGTGTTGGTTTGAAAATCTGATACATCTTTAACTGTCTTGGATAACATGTCCAGACTAAATTGATTGAATATGAAAATTATTCTATTTCTTTCAGTTTCCCTAAAATTTTCTTTAGAGTAAATAAATCTGAAATATGGGGGTCGTACTCATTCTGGACAGAAGGAAACAGAGCTTTTGTAAAACAATGAAGAGACAGGTCAAATCTGAGTGAGCAAAATCCACAGGGCAACGTTCTATCATCTATAACTCTCAAACAAACAACAAGAGTACAAGATGGAGTCAGTTACTGAGGTTGTAGACTACTGAGGAATTCTATTTAAAAGTGAGATGTGAGTGGCGTGAAAGTGCTACTGAAACCTTCGGTCTCTTCAGTCCACGCAGACTTCCCTGACATTAGTCGGCTCTTTAGTCAGAGTGGCTGAGCAAACTGTCTTTACAAGGCTGAACTGACTAGTTAATAGTCAAGTAGGCTGCATTGTTTTTATTTATTGATTAGTTGATTTTAATTTCCCACCATAACGGGCTCATTGAATCTGCCTGCTGTAAAACCAGAAAGCTCACAATCACACCCAAAGCTTTGATCAGTCATTACAGATATAACTGCATATTTTGTGATTGAAGAGCTGTCTGTGGAGATTAAACTCCACAAAGTGTGCCAGGGAAAAAAATAATACTGTTGCGAAACTTGGAGTATGCCATCTCCTCTCCCCAGCAATCCCTTCATCATGGCTTACCACCTGCTGGTTCGCTTGGCTGGAATCAGATAATGTGCAATAAACACCAGTTTAACCATGTAGATTCCTTGTTGTGGTAGTTAGTACTAATGCCAATCTCTGTAAAATGAACAATATCACAAAAACAAACACATGGAGCACAATTCTGGGTTTGGCCTACCATGCTGTATTCTGAAGGGGGAATTTTATTCTAACAACAGCTTAGCTGGGAGAGAAAAGACAAGCTGAAAGCTACAGCTAAATAATTAAAGGGGAAACCCACCTTGGTATGGAATTCCCAAAAGTTGTCTGTTTGGTCTCTGACTATGTGTGAACATGTGCAAGTAGAAACTCATTAGCCAGTTGTCTGACAGACAGACTTGGAGTTATGAGTAAGCTTCTTCGGACCAAACCTCAGACAGACGCAGGATCCACTGAGCTTCATGTGGTAAGATAACAGTTGAACATCCCCCTAAAGTAGTGTCCAAATGTTATTACTGCAACTACAGTTAAAAAAGTGTTTAAGTTGTTAATCAAAAAAACTCAATTATATTTCAAAATTGCAGCATCCTTCATACTAGACAGGGAAGACGTCCGGATGAACCCATGTGAGAAAATAGCAGGAGACTATCATGAGGATTCACTGTGAGCAGATGGGTGGGTGATTTCTAACATGTGACAGATGCAAAACTGAAAACAAGCCCAAAAGAATACAAATATCTCAGCATAAAAAAAGGAGGCATCCACATAAAAGAGCCTTACAGATTAAAGACGCTGACAAAGATGTCAACTAAGAAAGAAAAAAAAACCAGAAAGCTTCTCTGGATAAAACTTAATGTTTAACACGTGAAAATGCATTAATAAAGAGTTCCAGCTGATCAAACTCTTATGTTACGTTCACACCAAACGCATTTCAGCCACAGGATCATTTGTGTTCAATTACATGCGAGTAATGCGATTCAACACAGATGATTCACAACCAGTGAGAGAGAAAGGACTAGTGGCTGAAGTGACTATAGTTGTGTATAGGTCCAGAAGAGCATACAGGTAGATTTCAGCCCATCCTCCAGGAGCTGTGTCTGGAGGACTGCTCGACCCGAGGCTGATCAGTGGCCAGTTTGATCGCCCTTTAGGAGTCAGGTGAGTTTCATTGTCAGTGCATTGGCTTTTGCAACGTGAATTGTTTCGCGCAAATTCAAATATTTACACTCGAATGTACACAAATTGCGTCACACCCAACAGTCTTGGCATTGACTTGAATGTAATCTCAATGCATCACCTTCTGTGTGAATTACAGCCATTTATAAAAACATGAGACATGAGATTTAATCAGTTCTCATACTCATATATTTGGTCCTAGTCAAATGTGAACTACTTTCTAGCCGTTGTTCAATTATATTATAAAACAGATATATATATAATAATCGAATAAAAAAATGTGTATCCGTATTATAGACCTTCAGTTGTCTGTGAGGAAGCATTTACCTGTGATTACAGCAGTAAAGCAGTGTGTGCAAGTTGTCTTGTATCAGTGGCAGCAGTAGCAGTATTGCTTTGGCTCTTGTTACGATGGATGGACTCTCTAGACAGCGGAGCACCTTCATCACCAAATCCTACAAGACACAAACACAAATAAAGTGAGTCAGTGTTTGTTGATGGCAACATCCCAACTAAGAAATTTGATTCAGAGTATGAAAAGAAAAAAATATGTTTACTGAACACAATGCTATACTCTGGGTTTTTCTTATCACAAGACTTTCCTGCATTGTATTCAATTAATCTATGTGGAGAAACAGGAAATTACTCAATTTAAAATGTACCTTACAGTGAAGAAAAATATATTCAGAAATTGTGATAAGCTACTGGGCTAAAATCTTAATTAGCTGAGACTCTATATTACAAAAACATGCACACATGCACACACACTTGCATGCAGACACCCATTCACTCAGAAGCTGTGACTAGTTGGAAAAACATTTTTGACTGGCCAACATTCATTACCATTACCATTATCATTATCACCAACACCATACACTCCAGACTGTGTGCGTGTGTCTGTGCATGTGTGTTTATGGAGTGACACACCAAGTTAATTAATTTCAAAGCCCAGTAGTGTGTGCCTGGCTGATAAGTCCCTCCCCACTACCCACAATGCTTTGCTGAAGTAGAAGGCTGCAGTGCTTTCATTCAGCCAATTAGCCCAGATACTGACACACTCCACAAATTAGTGTATGTGCATGTGTGGATGGACACGCACACACACACACACATAGACAGACAGAGTTCTTTGTAAACAAACTCTTGGACTGTCTGTCTTTGTGCCAGGGGAGAGGGGGGTGGGGCGGGGGGTGGGGTGAATGCATATCAGTGTATAATTAGAGTAGAGTTAAAGTACTAAGTTTGTATTCTGGTGTTAAATTGGAAATGCTCAATGCAAATAAATTCAGTTCAGAGTCAATTACCAATGCTAGACTCCAAGTTAAAACCTTCAAATCAATTTTAGCCCCCTGCCTTACCAAGATTAGCACTTCACATACACACTACATGGCTATCTCATGAAAAATTAAATAAGTAATTCCTGACAAATTAGTTTGCACACAGTTCAGCATTAGTTCATGAACTGTATGGAAGAGAGAAAGAGGGAAGGCAAAGAGACAGAGAGGGGCAGAGAGAAACTCTGCAGTAAAGGTTTACAGAGTTTGAAGCCAGTTCTGTTTGTTCCCGACGCTGTGGCGTTAACTCTTGTTTTCATCCCTCAGTGCTCCTGTAAAAATGTCCTCATTAGTGATAATGCCCACGTAAATGTAAAAAAATCCAACCCTGATCAGTACTGATGTTATTTCAAAAGCTATAGAATGTCTCTATAGCAGCACCAATATATACTATTACATGTAACATGAAAAAAATGAGGATTATTGCATCTGGGTTTCTTTTGTCATATGATATGGAATGTGAGTGTATTTGCATTAATTGGGCATTTTTACGACATACTCTTAGATTTAGCATACATACCTCGTTCTGGGTGACGCGGTGTGTTTGCATGCGTGAGGTGACTAAGGCAGCCGCCATAGCAGTGAGCAGGTGCTGCTGGACCCTGGCCCCTGCTCCAGCCACACCCTCCAAGATGGCCGCAGGGCCGCATGTGTCAATCACAGCTGAGAAGACTGCTGGGACCACCCGGGTTAGTCTGGAAAGAGACTGGAAACACAGTCAGACAGATAAGCACACAGGTAGCGTATGTCATTCATGGATTCTGCTATCCCATCCTCTTGTAATGTCATGTTGAACTTGCCGATATACTATTTTGAAAAAAAAAAGGAGAAGGTTCCAAACATGCAGCAAGAAAAACCTATTGTACTGTTAACAAATCCAATAATTATTATTATCATTATTTCCAGTCTGACAAAGGAGGATTAAAAAGATCAAATTCTGCATCAGTTCAGATATTTAGGTTTGCAAACCCAAAATATCCAAAGGCATAACTGTGAGGTATAAAACATTTCCACATGGTTTTTGAGGTGTGCTCTAGAAATGAAATGATTAAGATGGACACACAGACAGATGTACTGATCACTATATTATACATAGTGATCAGTATTTATGGCATAATGATATCATCAATTTCAAACAATCAAGTAGCTTTGGATGCTTTTACCTTAAGTTTATTTGTGGGTCTAATGTGTGTTTCTAGGACTTACAGAGATGATGTCTGAATACACATCTGTACGTAGTAATGCATGCTTAATGGTGTGTTTTTGTACGTGCGAACATACAGAGATGGCGGTGAGTCTGACAGCCTCCACAGTGGAGTGAGTGAACAGGTACCACAGGGCCGAGCCCATCTCTGTGGTGGACAGGTGGTGGGAGGATCCAGAAACAGTGGTGGAGATGTTCTCAATGGCTTTTGCAGCAATGTGATGAACCACGGAATCATCCTGTGAGACAGACACACAAACACTTAGTAATCATCTATATTCACTATGGTAAAGTGACCATAAGTAATTTTGACAAGTTTACTGAAATTATGAATTGACGTCAGCATTAACAAACACAACCAATAGAATGAGACACATCTGCTACAACAGTAATTCCTTTAAAGTGCTAGACCATAATGAGTCCTACAGATGCTATAGTAATGGTTTATTCTATTAAGTAAAAAAAAAAAAATTTAAGATATTTTTTTGTTCTGCAAGTTTAGCCATCTTGTGTCTGATTGGTTATTACTAATGATGTCTTGTATTTTATCAGATGCAATAAATAACAATAACAAAATAACTGCAGTATGTATCAGTAACTTGTATAATGGGTGTATATAAAACCATATATACAGGCATTACATACATGATCATAAAGAAAAAACTACTAGCTAGTTGTCCTGGTCCACCTTGCAATAGGAAGTGAGTGTACATGTACTTGCAGCAGCACCAGCACCAGCAAAGAGATACTATTGACAGAAAGTACTACAGTATGTGCTAAACGCCTCTAGGGTGCAGGAACTGGCCCAGTGTAAATACTTCATATTAAACCGCCAAGTGGTGGGTGTCTTCTATTTATAAGAATACATGTAAAGATAAGCTTTCATACTGCTGTGTAAATGTGCCTATCCATCTTAATAACAGAGCACCAAAAAAAAAAAAAAAGGTTTTGGTGCTTTAATGGCATCTTGTGCAACATATTCTCCGGTTCATCATTAAGTTACAAACTTAACTGAAAAATGTCATACAGCAAAAGAAATTAATGAATAAAACATTAATGCAATCACAAACTGGCAATTAGATTAGCTCTCTGCATCACGTCACCACAAAAGAGGAGAGGGAGCTTGTGTGTGCACGAGTGAGCATATGAGTTAGTGTGCAAGTGTTTGTGTGTACTGCATAGACCCACACACCTTGGCCTGAGTAGAGAATAGTTGTTTGTGTCAGACAATGGGTCCAGACTAATGAAATCTGCGTGGCGGAGAAAATGAGTGTTTCCAGGAAAGTCATTGTGGAGCAAGACAGGAAGTGGAACAGAAGTGATTGTCTCTGTCAGGTTATTGTTGTGTTTCACTGTGTTACATCACTTAGACGCTACTCTCCCTATGGGATACAATAGCGCCTATTCATAAAACCCAGTTCACTATATTTTGTTGTAAAGGTTGATAATAGCAGCTCTGTGGTGATTTATCATGGTAATTGTGCAGAGTGGTACATGGTAGATTATTCCATTATTACACACGTTAATTTCACACACAACTGTACTTGCTGTCTGCATATTTGTATATATATACAGCACAGCAAACAAAATGTAAGAATGCAATAATTAAAGTGATATGTCTTGAAATGTGCTTTCAAGTGTATTTGTTCCTCACAGCTTGAACTGTCATCTACATCAGACCCAATGAAACCAAGGTTTTGCAGTGTAAACACTGCTGCTACTCTGCGCTCGGTATGCTTCAAACAATCTGTTAAATGTGCTCCTCCTCTCAAAAGCTCCTACACTCATGCAGGATATGTATGTACAGCAAATGTGGATTATGTGGATATAAAAGGTTTTTATATAGATGGTTCAATACACTTTTGACTACAAAATATAAGAATCTACTATAACAGGGATCAATTCAAATTGATTACATAGTTACTGCTATGTCACTAAGAGCTTTGATTGTCAGGTTAGTTATTAAAACCCATGTTTTATTGTTTTCAGTTTCACGATAAAAAAGATTTGACTTAATGCCATCTGTTTTAACATGTTCAAAATGAATAAATAACTAAATAAATGAAATCAGATCTCCAAAAATGTTTTAGGACTGAGAAAAAACAATGCATCAATGTTCAGGCTGCGAACCACAGTTATATAACATTTTACCAAAATTAGACACACATCCTATTCATCCGCACGGGAACTCTAATCATAACTGATAGCTTAAAACACGTACCTATTAATCTAATATAGAACATCACATTGTGTATTCATCACCAAGGGACAACGTAGCGCGACAACAAAATGAATCCTCTGGCACCCCTCTGGGAACCAGTAGAATGGTCTGTTCCGGCATTCCCTAGGCCGTGCGGGCTAGCTCACTAATGAGCCCACGGGGGAGCCCCCACTGTCTGTGTGTTTAACAGACTGTAGCCCTGCCAGGAACTACACAGAGAAAGAGAGAGAGGGGGAGACTGAAAAGAAAGAGAGAGAGAGACAGAATGAGATATATCCTTACATGTGGTGAGAAACAAGTAGTTCATGCAAGAAACTCCATCATTATGATGCAGAGAGAGAAATGCAGGAGACAGAGGAAAGAGTAAGTTATTCTCATTATAATTTCTCCTAGTGTGAGAAACAAGTTCACACACTCATTATATTATATTCAGTGTCCTACTTAAACCTCACATCTCCAGAAAGTCAACTTTAAAGAAATAAAAGTAAAAATTTTCACAATGGCTTCCCAATGCTTTGACTACAAGGTCATCTAACATAGTTTTTTTTCCCTCAAAACACGAGGCTTTGCCAAAATTTAGCGTAAGGATGACAAATCTGTATCATTTTTATTTTTATACAACTGGAGTTGTATAATTGAGGTACATTTTCCTCACAAAACCACAACTGAGAGTTGTATTCAATGAAACAAACCAGTTTCAAACACGTTGAACAATTTCTACACTGTACTTCAATATATGGAGGTACTGGCTAAGCAATTAGTTTTAGGGTGCTTTCACACATGCCTTGTTTGGTCCGAACCTTCAGACTTGGCAATTTAGTCCAAATCAAACTAACAGGTGTGAAAGGTGCCTCAGACTGCAGTTCGGAGTGAGAGACTAAAAATAGAGCTGGACTAAGGAGGTGGCCTCAGCCTGGATTAAACAAACCATAGTTCAGATCATTTGCAGTGTGAAACCTTTTTTTTTTTTTAAGAGTTCAGACTTTTGGACCAATCGCAGGAAGTTGAGACAGCATGAAACGATAGAAGAAAAAGAAGCTGAAGCAGCTCACAGGACTGCTTGTAGTCTTCACTTCTGACAATATGTTTCAATGACAGACGTTCATTTGGCGAATTTGAACTAGTGTGAAGGAGTGTGCCTGAAGTTACTGATGCTGGTAGTACCATTGCACTGTCAATGAAAAATGATATGAACCAGGTTATTCATTTCCTCATTTCAAATGTAAGAAGACCTGTTGAACTGACGACACATGCTTAAGTCATGCCAGCCAATCAATGTCATGTGTAGGTAGATGCAGCCTATATGCAAGGGATGATGACAGGAAGTGTGTGTCTCACATTAAAGTCTTTAGACTGCTCCCTTGATTGCTGCGTTAAAGCAAAACTAACAAGATCAAATACAGGAACCTTGGTTCGGACCATGATCCTGACTTTCAGGAGTCAGACTCAAGGTCCCTTTACACGGTGTGATTTAGGTCTGTGATGTAAATTCACTTCTGGAAGAAACATACAAATCTGCAGTCAGTTGTGCAATAGCTGACTCACATTCCACTTTGGAACATGTCCCCTGATGGCTGATTTGGAGCTTTAATGAGAAGATAAACAGAAAAATTCGGAAATTCATGACCCAAGATCTCACAACTTCAGAATCACAATCGGGATATGACATGAAATGACTTAGAATACTGTGATGGTATTTTGGCTTGTCATGTAGCAGAGAAATGAATAATAGCTGCATTCCATTAATGTAGTTCAGCTAGTTGCAGGGTCTCGATACTGTGCATGCTTGTTCACAGGCATGACTCACTGGGACACTTAATGGAAGGTAGCCATGTTAAAAAAAACTAAGAAAAGTCAAAATGTCCCAATGACGGCTGCTTGGTCATTCAGGGGGCCCGTTCCACATGAAGGGTCATTCTGCATGCCGAAGTGTGAATTGCCCTTTCTTACAGAGAAAGTGCTGCACACAGATACACTCTGTGTGTGTGTGTGAATTGGTGGATGACAAAAAAAACTGCACATCGAGACTAGAAAAGCAGAGACCATTTAGCAGACCATTCATACTGAGAAGTATAGCTGATGCTGATGGGGAAAATGAGTTAGTAAGTATTTGAAGTGACAAAACATTGGGTCCGGACTTTCTCTGCAGTTTGTCTCTCACTCATGCACAACACAGTGGGGGGGGGTGTTCTGCTCAGACGTGTTCACAACAGCAACAACTTCTCTGCAGGATCAAACCCTCTTGACAACTTTGTTGGTGTCCTCTACATATGTGACACCACTTTCCCCCCGTATATATTTGTTTTTTTTGTTTTCTTGGAGAAACTCTGGAGGCTTTCACTCAGACATGCGTTCACAGTCACACATACACCTCGTTCGGAGGATCTCCACAGTTCAGTGCATGTCTGAAAGAAGCTTAGGTGATTGATCCACTTGGGACCTTGAATATGTGTGGCAAATTTTATTCAATAGCTGTGAGATTTCACTCAATACCAAGAATGCCAACTTCCTGCTTGCACTGGAGGAAAAGTCTGGAGATCAACAAAGTCATTAGACAGGAAAAACTTTTGGATGAAGACTAAACCATATCACGTCCCAACCTGCCTGAATCATTTTACAGCTAAGTACCTGTGTCTCCTTATGGATCACTCACATAGTGCTTTTATAATGATAATCTTTTTAGGATTCAGGAAGTTTGAATTACTGTCATAATTATAAAGGTAAGGAAAATAATTGTAGTTTCTTTGTCACGTAAGAAAATAAAATAAATCTCTGAAACAGGCTCATGATCTAAAGTGAAAATAGACTTGATGGGCATTGAATTGAAACTGCTCAACAGGTATTGAAGAATTTGTAAGAATATTAGGATATTTTATATGATTTGGGGAAAATCTGTTGATGTATCTTGGTTATGTCAATGATTAGAAATGCTTCTTTGACTCAACTGCTTCTGCAAATTCATTTTCCCCTGTTGGATGTTTTGTATAGATGAAAAATCAGTCAGGAAGTAATTCCCTT